TGTGATTTCCCCTTGCAAACACAGGCAGGCTCCTCCGTTCCCCTTCATCATAGTGTGTGGGGTGCACCTCTAGAGAACCCAAACTACTCCTAGCTCGTAGGACTCTTCCACGGTTCGAATACATGTTTGCCACAATCTCAGTTCATCCACCATGGTGTGCTCACTTCCAGAACACTAGGTGCATGTTACTCAGAGCGGCATCACTGACCTATGAGGTGTTGGATGCACATTTAAAAAAAAAATTTTTTTTTTAATTTATACCCAAATGAGTTAGCATATAGTGCAACAATGATTTCAGGAGTAGATTCCTTAGTGTCCCTTAACCATTTAGCCCATCCCCCCTCCCACAACCCCTCCAGCAACCCTCTGTTTGTTCTCCATATTTAGGAGTCTCTTATGTTTTGTCCCCCTCCTGGTTTTTATATTATTTTTATATTATTTATGTTCATCTCTTTTGTCTCTTAAAGTCCTCATATGAGTGAAGTCATAGGATATTTGCCTTTCTCTGATTAATTTCACTTAGCTTAATACCCTCATGTTCCATCCACATAGTTGCAAATGGCAAGATTTCACTCTTTTTGATTGCCAAGTAATACTCCATTGTATATATATACACCACATCTTCTTTATCCATTCATCCGTCGATGAACATTTGGGCTCTTTCCATACTTTGGCTGTTGTCGATAGTGCTGCTATAAACATGGGGGTGCATGTGTCCCTTCGAAACAGCACACCTGTATCCCTTGGATAAGTACCTAGTAGTGCAATTGCTGGGTTGTAGGACAGTTCTATTTTTAGCTTTTTGAGGAACCTCCATACTGTTTTCCAGAGTGGCTGCACCAGTTTGCATTCCCACTAACAATGCAAAAGAGATCCTCTTTGTCCGCATCCTTGCCAACATCTGTTTTGCGTGAGTTGTTAATGTTAGCCATTCTGACAGGTGTGAGGTGGTATCTCACTGTGGTTTTGATTTGTATTTCCCTGATGATGAGTGATGTTGAACATTTTTTCATGTGTCTGTTAGCCATCTGGATGTCTTCTTTGGAGAAGTGTCTATTCATGTCTTTTGCCAATTTCTTCACTGGATTATTTGTTTTTTGGGTGTTGAGTTTGATAAGTTCTTTATAGATTTTTGGATATTGACCCTTTATCTGATATGTTGTTTGCAAATATCTTCTCCCATTCTGTCGGTTGCCTTTTAGTTTTGTTGTTTCCTTCGCTGTGCAGAAGCTTTTTATTTTAATGAGGTCCCAGTAGTTCATTTTTGCTTTTGTCTCCCTTGCCTCCGAAGACGTGTTGAGTAAGAAGTTGCTGCAGCCTGGATGCACATTTTAATGTGTGGGAAGCACACTCTTGCAATTATTTTGGAAAAGTGATCCTTAATTAGTACCGTCTATATGGATGTCATCAAATTTGCATTTTCCAAATTTAGGTAGGAGGCAGAGTCATGAGTAAGACGTAGCAGACAATCATGGAAGTTGACCAGGAGTCGTGTTTCGTAAGAGGGCATGGGAAATGTTGGTGCAGGCATGCCTAGCCCCCTGTCATCTCGTCCCCTTCTCCTGTGCCCCTCTTCCCGATTCACTTAGCAGAGTTCTGCAAGGTGGTCTCCAGGTAGAGTGAATGAGGGAATAGTTTTTGATGAGCGTAAGGTCAAAGATGGCCACCATAACAATATCAGCAGGCCTGTCAAAGTGAAGCCCGAGAGCCCCTTGCTCAGGTGGGCTGAAGGCAGGCGCAGAGCCCACAAGACAACACAGCAGAGCCTCAAGGGGCATCCTCCAGGAGCTGCCCCTCATCCCACAGAGCAGGTGAGGCATCCTTTCTCAAGGAGGCTGGTGCTCCCTTCAGCCTTGAGGAAGCTTCTGAAAGCAAAACTGGAGTGGCTGCTGTGAAGAGTCACACTTGTGTGTGACTTGTGAAGAGTCACACCACACAGTGTGTCTTTCTCTTGGGTCCTTGCTGTAGTCATCGGCTTTGAAGAACCAGATGACTGATGCTCCTGTTTGTTTATTTTGAGAGAGAGAGAAAGAGCTCAAGCAGGGAAGGCGCGGGGGCGGGGGGGGGATATCCCAAGCAGGCTCTGTGCTGCTACTGCACAGCCCAATGCAGGGTCGATCTCACAAACCATAGATCATGATCTGAGCCAAACTGAAGACTTTAGACGCTTAACTGACTGAGCCCCCCTGACGCTCTCCTAGAGGTTTTAATTAAGGGTGGAGTGTCTGTTCCCATAGCCATGAGCTTTGAGTGAAGCATAAAACCCCAAGAAAATGGCTGAACTTAGGGCATCTATGTATTTGGGAGAGCCCCGAAACCCCAAGGACATTAAAACGTGCTGCAGGCCTGTGACCTCCACCTTCTTCCTGGGTAGACCCAAGAAGAAAATAGAAACAGAGATGGCAGCTGCTTACCAGATTAACACACAAGAGGTTATGCCAGTATATTTAAAAGAGAAAAGGCACGAATGGTTAAGGGGATTGGCTAAATTAGAGTATATTGCAAAATGTAGAACTGTGAACCCATTGAAAAGTTTTGTGGAACAGAAGTTTATATATGTGAAGCAGGGCTGTGAGCCTCCTCGCTGCTCAGATTCTGACAGGGTAACTTCAGAAGAGAGCTGCCATGTCCATTGTGGGATGTTTAGCAGTACCCCTGGCCTCCACCCACTAGAGGCTGTAGAATAGAACCCCTCCTCAAACTGTGTCAAGCAAAAATATCTTCATATGTTGCCTTGTGGCCCCTGAGGTTTAGAACCACTGGTGTATCTATACATCTGTATATCCACTTTGGCTCCTGAGCGCCAACCACAAGCCAGGAGTCAGTCTAGGACTAGTAATGTGATGTAATGTGCTAGTAATGCATCACACACATGAAAATGGCAATGGTGAATAAGAAGTCGGTTATTCAACGATGCGCAACAAGATGCAAACTGCCCATTATTCCTGCCATCAGGAAAACAGTACCGCAAATACCATCTATGCTTGTTCATTCTCTCCAGAATCCATTTCATCCCTCTGGATGAAAAGGGTGCTATTGTTGAATCTCTCCTTTGGGGAGCCTGGGGAAATGGGCCATCTCTTTCAAGTTCCAGAGAGAGGATCTCATGCTTCCTGAATACTCAGTTGTCTGCTTGCATGTTCTAGTAACATCTGAGGATGACACTGAATGATGGGTTTCCTGGGCTATGAGCGCAGTTCCTCTCCCCGTGCTTTGCCCCACAGACAGTGGGTTGGAAGAAGGGGTGTCATGCCTCCTTTGCCACCTGCTGACTGGCCCTGCACTCCCCAGAGCTGCTGCTGTTGCAGTTTTAACCACTTTCTCCAATAACTGTGGCTCCTTCCCTGGGGCTGCCTTCGTGGGAGCAGCTGGGAAGTCACCCTGATTGCTCCAGCAGGGCTAGGCTTGGGTGAAGCCCAGGTCTGTGCCTGGCATTTCGTTTCTGTAGGAGGGAGTCCAACTGGAGGAACTGAACCATCAGTGATTAAGGGACCCAAAGCTCTTAAATGGTTACAATCACTTTTGCTTCTGCTAAGTCATTACACTTAGAGGAAAGGTAATTTATTGTCAGATAGAATTGTGGTAAATGGGTAAGTGTGACTTCCCACTAGTTAGCCTTATTAATGTGGTCTGGGTTTACCATTGGGAAGAGTGATAACTGCTTATTTTATTTAAATGTTTATTTATTTATTTTTGAGAAAGAGCGAGAGAGCGAGTAGGGGAGGAGCAGAGAGAGAGGGAGACAGAATCCCAAGAAAGTTTTGTGCTATCAGTGCACAGCCGGATGTGGGGCTTGAACTCACGAACCGTGAGATCATGACCTGACCTGACACCAGGAGTTGGAGGCTTAACCAACTGAGCCACCCAGATAACTGGTTATTTTAGAAAAGTGGGGGTAATGTAAGTTATCAAGATAAATATTGAAAATAATTGATTTTTTTTAAAAAGCTTATTTATTTTGAGAGAGACAGTGGGGGAGGGTCAGAGAGAGAGACGGAGAGAGAATCCCAAGCAGGCTCCTCACTGTCAGCGCAGAGCCCCATGTGGGGCTCGGTCTCACAAACTGTAAGATCCTGACCCGAGCTGAACTCAAGAGTCCGACACTTAACCAACACCTGAGCCACCGATACTTGAGCCACCCAGGCGCCCTGAAAATAACTGATATTCTATATAGATGGCCACTGTTAACAACTTGGTCTGTTTCTTCTCAGTTCTGTTTTCCTGAGCAAGTTTATATTGAAGGATGTTCGTGTAGGCCAAAAGGTGGAGCCTGGCTGGGCTGCCATGATTTCTCCTGACTTCCGGGGATCTGACCAAGGATTAATAGCCTTCCCAGGGAAACCTTTGGGACAGCCTATCTCAGCCTTTATTTCTTCAAAATTTTCCTATTCAGGGTGAGGAACAGAATCTTTTTTAAATGACCATATATTTGGTTAGGTTACAAAGAATGCATCAGTATGTCCAAAAATTGAAATTACAAGTGTCATTTATGCTCACAATGCAAGAAATGAAGAGATTTAAAGGAGAACATGAAAACCTAAATAAAGGATGCTTACAACAGGAAATTATAAAACATTTCCATTAAACAACTCTAGGGTAAAAAGGAAAACATGAATGAAAATTATGAAGTTTGTACAATTTCAAAACAAAGTTAAAAATGAACATCAAAATTATAGGGGCACCTGGGTGGCTTAATCAGTTGAGGATCCAATTCTTTTTTTCTTAAAATTTTTTTTTTCAACGTTTATTTATTTTTGCGACAGAGAGAGACAGAGCATGAACGGGGGAGGGGCAGAGAGAGAGGGAGACACAGAATCGGAAACAGGCTCCAGGCTCTGTGCCATCAGCCCAGAGCCCGATGCGGGGCTCGAACTCACGGACCACGAGATCGTGACCTGGCTGAAGTCGGACGCTTAACCGACTGCGCCACCCAGGCGCCCCGAGGATCCAATTCTTGATTTCCGCTCAGGTCATGGTGTCAGGGTCATGGGATTGAGACCCTCATCAGACTCCCAGTACAGAGACTGCTTGAGATATTCTCTCTCTCTAAAAAACAAAAACCCACATTATCTAAATTGCATGAAATTCTTTCAAACCATCTTATGTGATGACATAATGGATAAACTATCAGAGTATTCTTAAATTACAGTGTGTTATATGAATGTTGTACTCTACTTCTATTTGCTTATTTACTGTAAGGGTCGTTTATTTTACTGTGATCTCCATGACTTTGGAGACCACCTCTATTTTGTTATGATTCTATCATTTTACATCCACTTGGCAAAATACTTGGTACGTAATAGAAACTAAAATATTGGATAAATAAAAGAATAAGTGAAATGAAATAGACAAAAATGGCTTAAGATAAAGCTCTGGAATATCATTGTGACTTTGTGTCAGAAATCTCTGGTTTGAACCTTGGCTCCCAAATTTTCACTTGTCAAGAAACAGTGTTAATGTCTTCGAGCCTCAGTTCTTTCTGTATGCCTAAACTAGCAGTATTCATTTATCCATGCATTCATTCCTGAATTCAGTTAGCAGCCTCTTGGCCAGTGGATGCCCACCCCACAGTGAATTCCGTAGGGAAAGCACCTTCCCAGACAGCAGGTGCTAGCTTCCAGGTGTCAGCAGAGGTACCGCCAGCACCACCAGGTACTGACGAAATCTCCCAGTTCAAGAAGCAGCTTGCTCCAGGGGAAAAAAACCCGAAGGGGTGCAAAGAGCAGGGGTTTTGGAGTCAGCAAGACCCGGGTTCAAAAACACGCTCTGATCTTTACTAGCTGTGTGACCTTGGGTGAGTTAACCTGACCTCCCTGTGCCTCCGTTTATGCACGTGGAGACCAGAGAGCTCAGTAGAAACAACAGTAGGGTTAAAAGGATTAAATACAACTTTAAGTGGAAATGACACTTGTGACCTGGGGCAGCAATGTGCCAGCTGCTAGCAGTGGTGGTAGTGAAAGTCCTAATACCCGTTAGCTGCTGTTCTGATGATCACCACCACCTTGTCACACAACTGGGAATGCAGAAACTAGTGCCTTACACATTTATTCTTAGTACCTAGTCCCAGAGGGCACCACCACAAACCCAGGGTTTCCCCCACACGTGGTGCGATGTAGTGCTGTGTAGTAAGAAACAGGTATTGGTTCTTCGCCCCTTCCCGGCCTGGAGCTCCCCAACCCTAGGAATTTCCTAAGTGCTGAGAGGGAAGGCTCTCTTTTGTTATGTTAATGAACAGGAAATCGAGGGAAACTCCTTTGGTGGGGCTGGTTGCCAGGGGAACCAAGCCAGCGGGCGAGGGTTAGAACTTTTAATCCCACCCCCTGACCTCGGTGCCAGGGAGAGGGGCTGGAAATTGAGTTCCATCACCATTGGCCAATGGTTTCATCCAGGGTGCCTTTGCGGTGTAGCCTCTTCCGAAAAAGGACGCGGTTCAGAGCGCTTCCGGGTCGGTGAACGCGTGGAGGTGCTGGAAGAGTGGAAGCTTCACCCTGTGCACCTCTTCCAGGGCCGTTTCTGGGTTACGTCCTTTTGTAACGCTGGTGACTGGTAAGTAAGACGCCTCTCCCAGGTCTGTGATCCGCCCTTGGCATATTAAGCCCTCGGAGGAGGGTCCCCAGAAACTCTGACCTACAGACCTGGAACTGGGGTCCGGGGGGGGGGGGGGGTGGGCGCCGTCCTGGGGGCTGAGCCGTCGCCAGCGAGATAGGGTCAGAATTAGGGTGGATCGTAGCACAGGCCAGTGGGGTCATTGTTCGACGGCGGGGAGAGTCCACACTGCGACTGCAGTCAGGATTGTACACACACGCCTATAAAAACGCAAAAACAGAGTCTCCACAAAATTAGTCACCGTGGTGTCACGCACACAAACATACGCTTGCACAAACGGTGGTTTCTGTGCACACACCCATTCGGTTTCTGTGGTTCCCTATACATACACACACACACACACACACACACACACACACACACACACACACACACTCATCCAGAGTCAGACGGTAATTTAAGGTTCTGTAGGCTCACCTCCGCCGTGGTGCCAAAGCAGCCAGAGACGACACACCTGCGGGCACGCGCATACACACTCAACCCCGGTGTTTCCCCCTCACACACGCAAAACACAATCACAAACACAGGGCCTCAGAAGATACAATGGCACAAAATGGGCCTCACGGACTCAGACGTACCGTCACACCCCGGGACTCACGCCCAGGTACCAGGGGCGGGTCCACACCGCACACCTCTCAGAATCCGGAGGACGAGGCGGTCACCGCCACTGCGCGCGCGGCCGCCCGACGCTCCTCTCCGCGCGCCGCCGCGTCCCCACGCGTCGCAGGGGCTCCCGGGAAATGTAGGCTGCGGGCCAGAGAGGCGCAGCGCAAGGGACTCTGGGGAACCTTCGTTCTACGTTGGCGCGAACGAGATTCTACTTCTGGCCTGAGCACCGTCCCTGGGCCCCTCTCCCCGGTCTTTTCGACTCCGGGCCGGACAGATCTCGATACGCACAGACCGGGAGGTCTGCCCCACGTTGTGGGCCTGGCCCCGCTGCGCCCCGGAGGCTCCTGGGGGCTGCGGACTGAGTTCGCAGTGCGCACGCGCAACCGCGGGGGAGCCCGGCTCCCAGTACCGCCGAGCGCCGCAGTGCAAGCCCATGCGCGGGAATCTGCGGGTGTGCTAGCTGGTGAGGGAGGCCAACTGCGGAGGCTGGGTTTGGTTCCCTGGCTCGCAGAAAGCCCCTCGCGCCTCAGGGCATCCACATGATTTAACAGGAGAACCGTGGCCCCGGGAGCTCCAGGTACACTCTGTACGTGCGCGCGGCTCTACTGCTGCGTGGGTTGTGCGGGGGAGGGGCTCGGCCTGGCGCGCGCTTCGGTGCAGGGGTTGCGGGGGCGTGCTTGCGTAAGTGTCTGTTGCATGTGAGGGGGCGGGCCTCAGGCTCAGCGTGTGGGGAGTCCCCTCGCCCCCGCCCGAGGAGAGTGAGCGCGTGCACGCCGCGTGGCTTTGTTTAGGGGCGGGGCCCGGCGCGCTCGGGGCGGTCCGGGGGCGGGGCGGTGGCCTGCTACGTGTTGTGCGTGTGAGGGGGCGGGGCCGGCGGTTGCGCCTGGGGTCTCCGAGGGGAGTGCGCAGGCGCGGAGAGGCACTGGGGGCGCGGGGTGCCGCGCAGTTGTCGCAGTGGTCTCCGCCGGGACCCGATCCGGGAGGACTGAGTTGAATGTGAGCGTGTGTCTGTAAGACTGTGGGGTTGTGTGTCTGCGTGCGGTCGTGAGGGGGCGCGGGGGGCGCGGGCCGGGGGTTGCGCGGGTCATGACTCAGTGTGGATTCCTGACGAGGCCTCGCGGGGTCCTGAGGGGTCGTGGGCCTGGGGCGGCGCAGGGTCGTGACGCAATGTGGGTTCTGGCGGGGCTGCGCGGGTCGTGAGGGGACGCGGGGTCCTGAGGTGGGGTGAGGCTGCGGGTCCGGAGCGGCGCGGGGTCGGTCGCGGGCCCGGGGCAGCGCGCGCCAGTGGCAGCGCTGAGGGGAGCACCGGGTCTAGGACGTGAGGAGGTCGGCGTTCTGCGTCTTGTGTGTATGTGTGTGTGTGAGAGAGAGAAAGAGAGAGAGAGAGAGAGACCGACCGTGGGCAGGTGGGCGCGCGTCCGAGGACCGCCGTGCGCGGTGGTCGTTTGTAAGACAGGAAAGATGTTTGGACGGCCGGGAGTGGGTATGTGGGTGCGTGGGTGCTGCTCCGAGGCCTCGTGCTGGTGGGGCGCGTTTGTGTGCGCCCCAGACCGACGGGGTCGTTTCTCGCCGACGGCTGTGCGACTTGGGCGGGTGAGAGTGCGTGTGCTGTCGTCTCCCCCTTCCCTGTGCAGGCGTCCCTGTGGGAGGGTTCCCCGCGGTCACGCAGGGGAGACACCCCGCCCGCGGCTTGGCGCCGCTTAAGTGAGCGCCGTGTCGTGGCAGAGGTAGGGGTGCGGTGGTGAACGCTGCCGTTTGCATTTCCGAGCTTGGGGGTGCGCGGTCGGCCTTTCCCAGCTGAGGGGCGCTGCCCCCCGTAGCCGAGCCTGTGAGCCTGCCTTCCTGTGTATTTGAAGTGGGGGGCAGAGCCCTGCTGGCCTCTGGGACCGGTCTCCTCTGCAGCAGCCCTGGGGCTCCAGGTTCCATCGCTCACTAGTCGTGCGACCCCTGGAGAGGTCACTCCGCTGCCCCTCAGTTTCATCTCTAAAACACGGACGGTTCATAATGCCGGGCTTGGGGTGAGCCTGGAGTAGAAGGGTGCCTGGCCCAAGTAAGCCGCAGTGGGCGATAAATTACTTAATGATTAGCGTAGTCACCCCAGGGGTCTCACACCCGGAAAAAATCCGAGGGAGGAAAATCCGAAGTTGAGCCTCGGAGTAGAGGTTTCAGGCCCACCTAGAAAGTAACCTTGAAGGCCAGGTTGGAGCTTAGGTCCGGAGTTTTCATAGTCGGGTCTTGGGAGGGCAGCAGCAGGGTGTGTGAGGGGAGACCAGGGGCTCAGGGTCTTCCAGGATGGACGTGTCCCTGGGGAGCTTGTGGGGTGAATAACCTGGGTCGGAGGTGGCAGAGCCTGAGGGGAAGGATTTGCTGATAACACAGGGGTCTGGAGATTTTTTTCCGTGTCTGCCCAGGCGTCTTCCTTCTTTGAGTTGTGGATTCTTCGGGCCAGATAATTTGTGTGTGTGGGGGGGGGGGGGGGGGGCGCCCCGGCCCCCCTGCCCTACCTTCTGTAGGATGTTTAGCATTATCTCTGGCCTCTACCCATCAGATGGCCGTAGCAGAGCCCCCCCCCCTTCCCCCACGTGTGAAAGCAAAAACCTTTCCCTACGTTGCGGGGTGTCCCCTGGAGGGCAGGATCGTCAGGGCTGTGATGAAGGCACACCATGGACTCCCTCAAGGTGTGCAGATAGGAAAGAGGGCGAGGGGCTGGAGGAAAGAAGACATAAGGATGATGTTCTCTACCCGAGAAGAGAATGTGTCTGCGGCCTGCCCGAGTCACTCACTCCGTAGTCCAGCGGCTGCCATGGGTCAGGCGCTGTGCTAGTTAACGGACAAGACAGGTTACTCTCCATCTGGGACTAGCATTCAGGAGGAAGACGGTTCAATTTATGACAAGCAGTGGCAAGCGTTTTGTCGGGTAAAGCAGGGTGATGGGATTAGGGACTAAGCACAGGATCAATACCCAGGCTTCCCGTGGGCATCTCATTCGGTTCCAAAGCCAGTAGTGGCCACCATCAGTGACTTGGTGGTATCCTTTGGTTGGGGAATCCAAGAGTTTGGCTTTGAGGTCATCATAGGCTTTTCTTCTTCAACACCGAGGTGTGGGTTTCTACCGGAGAGGTCAGACCTTCAGCCCCACCCCAAGGCTCATAGAGACTGGGGTAACGGTTCTAAACTATGGCTTCCCATTAGCATCTCCTTTAAAAAGAAATGCCCAGGGGGCAACTGGGTGGCTCAGTTGGTTGAACCGCCTGACTTCGGCTCAGTTGGTTGAACTGCCTGACTTCAGCTCAGGTCATGATCTCACAGTTCGTGGGTTCGAGCCCTGCATCAGGTTCTGTGCTGACAGCTCAGAGCCTGGAGCCTGCTTCCATTCTGTGTCTCCCTCTCTCTCTGCTCCTCCCCTGCTTGCACTCTGTCTCTCTGACAAATAAATAAACATTAAAAAAAATTTTTTTTTAATAAAAAGAAGTGCCCAGATTTGGTTCTGAGAGATTCTGATTTAATTAGTCTGCCGTTGGGCACAGCCATCAATATTTATTAAAAAGCTCCTGAGACATTTTAATGTGCAAACAAGGTTGAGAGCTGTAGCTCCGAGAGCTTACTTGGGTAATAAGGTAAGTTAATTTGGTAGAGGAAGAGGAGGAGACATGAGTGACAAGTGCTTTCAATATTTTATCCAAGACAGTCTTGACAGCTGTGCTTTCCTGCATTAGGGACGTTCCTAGCCCCGGCCTACAAGTGAGGAAATCTGTTCCTGTACGAAGCCCATATTTTCTGGTACAGTTAGACTAGGGTCCTTAAGGAAAGTATCTTGTTATCTTGGCCTCTGGGACTGGCAGGATCAGAGTAGGGGTGATCGTCAAATATTTGATAGCTGGTACAGCAAAAGCTGACTTTGAAGGGAAGCAATGAGGTTGCTCATTAAGTGCCTGGTTCTCAGGTACATTAGGACCTGCCCCCAGTTCAGTGCTCAGCACAGCCCCCCAGGATCACAGAGATGTTGGGGCTGAGAGGAAGAACCCTAGTTGTCTGCTCCTGAGGAGAGGCATGGCCGCTGCCCAGTACGTCTTTGAAACTTGTTCCCATCCTGGTTTTTGCCAACCTCACTTTAGGATCAAGTAGTTAGCTTTGTATTGGGGCGCCTGGGTGGCCCAGTTGGTTGTCTGACTCAGGTCATGGTCTCATGATTCATGGTTTTCAAGCCCCACATCAGGCTCTGTGCTGTCAGCTCAGAGCCTGGAACCTGCTTCTGATTCTGTATCTCCATCTCTCTCTGCTCCTCTGCTCCTCTGCTGCTTGCACTTTGGGTCTCACAAAAAAGGAATAAATGTTAAAAAAAAAAGTTAGCTTGGTATTAAATTTAAATTGCCAAGCCCTTTCCACACTACGTTGGAGTCTCAGAAGACAGGCTAGGTGTACTGTTCTCCCCTGCGGTAGTGTGGGATTTACACGATTTTATTTGTGTTGCTTTGAAGAGGTAGTTATATGTGCATGAAACATGATGCCAAAGTGCAGATGGGGTGGGAGGATGGTGAATTTTTGAGTTTTCTTTTCCCATGCCTAGTAACTTAAGTCCTCTCTTCAGAGACGGTCACTGCTGCCAATGTCATGATTATTTTTCTAGAACATGTCTGCCTTTTCAAACATATATATTATGTTTTCAATATTTCATTTTCTCTAAGTGGTTTTTCTGTTCCTTTTTCACTGTCATTACATCACATCATGGAGATCATTTCACGCAATTCGTGTACAGCAGATTTCTCCACCTTGGCACAGTTGACGTTCTCTGCTTTGGGGTGCTATCTTGTGCAATGTAGGGTGTTGAACAGCATCTTGGCCTCTGCCCACTAGATGCCAGGAGCACTACCACCACCACCCCATCTGTGACAACCACAAATGTCCCCAAACATTGCAAGTGTCCCCTGGGTGCAAAATTGTCCTCAACGAAGAAGCACTGATGTGGTGTTACTTTGTTCCTTTTAAGATCTACCTGGTGTCACATCATGTTCACGTAACACTCACTTAGCCATTTCCCTGTTGATGGGCAATTTGGTTGTCTCCAATCTCTTGGTAACTTACATTTGTTCAGCACTGGCACTGTTTTAAGTGTGTTACGTGCTTTCACTCATTTAGTCTTCAGAACAGTTCTGTGGCGTCAGTTACTTGCGTCATTTGCCAGCGGAGGAAGCAGAGGCCCAGAGAGTACACTAGGGAAGGGTAGCAGAGTTAGAAGTTGAACCCAGACAGCCTCCAGGCACAGGTCCTTCACCGCAGGACCATACTGCCTCTTCCTATAAGTCTTGCCACACTGGATGCTCTTATGTGTCGTTTTATCCACATGCAAGGACTTCCAAAGACGAATACCAGAAATGAGGTTTACTATGTTGAGGGGGTGTGTGCCTTCAGCTTTCAAAGATGTTGCCAAATTATCTTCCTTTGAGGTGGTGGCAGTTTCTCTCCAGTCAGCACTCTGTGAGAATTCTACCCACAGCCTTTTCAGTGGATCTCAGGCTTCTTTGGTCTTTGGGATGCTTGGTGTAAACTGAGATAAAAGTGAGAAGAGAAGGAAGGGAAGAAATTACCATGTGCCTGTGGCTGAAAATAACTCTTGAAAAGGTAGCTCATGTAAACTTCTAACAGCTAATGGTGAGGTAGGTTTTCTTTACTCCAGTAATCGGCAGAGGCAAACTTTGAATCTGGAATAATCTAATACCAAAGTGCTGTTCTTTCTTCTCCAGCAGGGCTGGGCTCCTCAGAGAAAATGGTTTTGTGAACAAGGATTGTGCTTTTCTAGATTGGGTTGCATGGCTGAGTTCAGGCAGCTATGAGAAACCACAGGATGGACATGATGCCACTTCCTGCAGTAATCGGTTGTACTTGAGGAATTGGAAGGGAAAAAAAGCCAAGGGATGTACTGATCTGGTAAATAGTTTAAAGTATGATTACATTAATACAGGCTCAGGTTTATTATGACGTAGGATGCCAAAGTCATGTGGATGTTTCAAAACGAAATAGAACCAACCAGCAGTAGTTTTCTATAATGAGGAAACTGCCTTGGGGTGTGTCCCACAGAACTAGGCATTACCTCTATGCTTTGGGAATGATAATTAAAAGTAGGAGAACTCCCAGGCAAAGAATTGAGCTTTATTTTCAGGCTGTGTGGCTTCGGAGTGATGGGGCTGGCTCACACCAGTTCACAGACCTGTTCTGTACACCTTTCCCCAGCTGTAAGCTCAGTGACATCAGTTTGGTAGCTTACGGTGGGGCCCTAATGGGAGTGTTTACACCATGGAAATTGGCAAGGGCCACAAATCACTTAACACACCCCTGCCCTGGAGTCTAATGCAGAGAGAATTCAGGCATCTAAGACTTTTGGTAGGCCCCCTTGTCTGAGGCTGAAAATTTCAGGCTTCTTCTCTTCATGGCTTGGTCTTTCTGATGACCACGCCCTGTCCAGGAGCCCACCCAGAGTCACCTCATTGAAACAAGAAACAGTCCCAGTGTTCTTATCACTCAAGCATTTACAAGGGTTTTCGGAGTTCCGTGGTACCAAGGAGGAAGGCAGAGACCAGTGTGTGCCTTTTTAGTTCTCTCACACTTAGTGCATTAGCAATGAGAGCTGCGGAGAAAAGAGAAGTCAGGGCTGGGCAAGGGAGACTGGGAGTGGTAGGTAGGAGGGTGGGAGGCAGGTTGCAGTGTTACTAGACAGGTTAGGGTGAGACTGGTAGAGAGTGAGATTGGAACAAAGAGAGAAAGGAGTGAGGAAGTGAGGCAGGGCTGTGGTAGCAAATTCTGGGACTGGCAAGGAGGCCTGCATGAGGAAGGAGAGAGATACAGGATCCGAGTTCAAGTTTTGTTCAGCCTCAGGACAACTTCAGTAGTTCTGTATTGTTCTTGTTTAACGGGAGAAAAATGGCAGAGAGGTTCAGTAACGTGGCCGTGGTAACACAGCTAATGAAAATAGTCATCACACTTGGGTGGTCTGACTCCAGAGTGATGTTTGACACAGCCCTTCCCTCTGACCCAGAGTGGTTAGTGGGATATCTGGATCACCCTCGGCTTGAATCCGGGCTCTGCCAGTTCCCAGCCTTATATGACCTTGGGCAAGTAATCCCTACTTCTCTGTGCTTTATTTTCCTCGTCTGGAAATGGCACTAATGAGAGTACCTGCCCCAGCAAGTTAGGAGCGAGGATTAAATGATGATCTTCGAAAAAGTGCCCTGTATTTATTCATCTTAGTATTAATCTTAGGATTGCTACTCTTGCTTATTACTGTTTCTCTCTCTCTCTCTCTCTCTCTCTCTCTCTCTCTCTTAATGTTTATTTATTTATTTATTTAAAAAAAATTTTTTTTTTCAACGTTTATTTATTTTTGGGACAGAGAGAGACAGAGCATGAACGGGGGAGGGGCAGAGAGAGAGGGAGACACGGAATTGGAAACAGGCTCCAGGCTCTGAGCCATCAGCCCAGAGCCTGACGCGGGGCTCGAACTCACGGACCGCGAGATCGTGACCTGGCTGAAGTCGGATGCTTAACCGACTGCGCCACCCAGGCGCCCCAATGTTTATTTGTTAAGAGAGACTGAGGGAGGCGCAGAATCCAAAGCAGGCTCTAGGCTCTGAGCTGTTAGCACAGAGCCCAATGCGGGGCTTGAACCCACGAGCAGTGAGATCATGGCCTGGACCAAAGTTGGTTCTTTAACTGACGGAGCTCCCCCAGGTGCCCTGCTTTTCTCTTTTAAAGAGAGAAGCGTAATAACCAAACATTCTTCTGGCTAGGTTCCCTTAAACAGTACAAGGTCATCTTCTGACTTGCATTTTGTAATTTTTTTTTTTTTTAGTTTTTTTTATGTGTTGAGGGGTGGGGGAGAGAATGATCTGGAGAGGGGGACATAGGATCCAAAGCAGGCTCTGTGCTGACAGCAGAAAGCCCAGTGTAGGGCTTGAAGTCTTAAACCATGAGCCACCCAGGCGCCCCAGTGTTTAATTTTAGATAACTAAATTTTAATTCATTTATTTTAATATTTATTATTTTATTATGACTTTAGTAATAAATTAACTGAAATTAAATAACATTAAACACTCAATGGCACTAGCCTTATTTCTAGAACTCAGTTGTCACCAGTGGCTAATGACACGCATGTAGAAAAACAGGTTCAGAGTGATAGAGGGGGCCTAATCCAGGCCACTGAAGTCTCTGCTGGATTTACGCATACCTGCCTAATGAGTTCCTTCTTCAGCTCCTGTGTCCCCTCCACCCCTCACCAGCAGACACAGTTCATTCACCACATAGCCACCCAATAAATTTTGTTAAATGTTAAGTCGGATCTATCACTCTTCAGACCCCGCTCTCTCAGTGATGTCTTATCACACTTAGGATCAATTCCAAGTGCTCCTGACCGTCTTCATGACGTGGCTCTCTCCTGACCTCAGCCATCTCCTAGGCCACCACTCTCCGCCTCATTCTTCAGCACACCATTCACTTCCCTGTACACACCAAGCACGTGCCTGCTGTAGGGTCTTTGCACCTGTTGTATCTCTATCTAGAATGTTCTTCTCCAAGTGCCTCACGCACTACATTCAAACCTTAACTCAAATGTTGCATCCTCTGAGAGGCCTCTCCCAACCACTCCCATCACTCTACCCCTTCCTCTGTGTGTGTGTGTTGTTTTTTTTTTTAAATATAGCAATGATCTCAGCTGACACTGTTCTGTATTGCCCATTCCTGTTGGAGTAAAGTACATGGGAGCTGGTATTTCTCTGCTTTAACTCTCCTTTTTCCCCAACACCTGGGACATGCTTGGCACATAGTAGAAACTGAACAAATGCTTGCCAAATGAATGGATAGGTGTCTTCGTGTCTCATTTGCCTCCTGATCTGGAACCTTTTGTTGTCTTGGGTGCAGATAGCATTGGCCATTGCCCTTTCCCAACCCTGAGAAGGGGCAGGAATGCCGCAGAAATTGTTCTGTCATCCCTCCGTGTGTGTCTATGCGTGTGTGTGTGTGCGCGCGTGTACGTGCATGGGTAACCAGGGGGAGGGGCCAGGGGATTTGTATCCTAAAGACTCTGGGAACACCCAAAAGGACCTGTCGTCCTCATGATTTCTCTTCTCCCCCAGCCCCACCTTCTCAGCCCTCTGCCCTTCTTCAAATGTGGACCCTCAACGGGGAGGAAAGGATGCCTGCTGCACGAGGGAAGTCCAAGTCCAAGGTAAATAGCGATTCTTCTTGGGGGGAAGTTTCATCTTATAAGACATAGGCCATTTGCTTTCCTTCAGTGGAAACTTCTTACCTGACAGAATCCCATCCAAGACCTGTTTCTGTTTCCTCCCATCACCATGGAGGGTAGGAGCATAAGAGCTCTAGCACCCCACGTAACCACTCAGTGCCTGCCTCTCCTTTTTTCTCAGTGTACCCATGGCCATTCACCTATTTGTCCAGCATCTTCAGGGTGTCTGCCAGCGCTATTCCTCAGACAGAAGAGGGGAGCCACCATGATTTCTCGAGGTAGACCTGAGTGCCCAGGCAAGACCTCTGAGGCAGAGGAAGATTCGAGGCTGTGCTCTAGAGTTAATCTGTTAATGTTGCTTTGTTTTCACTTGTACAACCCATACATACAAGGAGGAAATCTCTCTGTGTGTAAGAAATTCCACATAATCTTATATTCAGATTGGGTTTGTTGGGGTCAGGCCAGTGAGTCAGCCTCCTATTAAAAAAACATGCTTCACCACTTAAAAAAAATTTTCTTTTGACGTTAATTTATTATTGAGAGACAGAGAGAGAGATAGAACGTGAGCAGGGGAGGGGCAGAGAGAGGAGGAGACACAGAATCCGAAGCAGGCTCCAGGCTATGAGCTGTCAGCACAGAGCCCGCCGTGGGGCTCGAACTTACGAACCATGAGATCATGATCTGAGCTGAAGTCAGACACTTAACCGACTGAGCCACTCAGGCGCCCCGTGCTTCACCACTTTAGATGATGAACTGATTTTCTACAGTAAACACCTTGAACGCAGTTTCTCTAACAAACATTTTTGCCCAATAAGTTATGTGTGTTTGTACTCTGTTGTTGTTGTAACAAATTTCTGCAAACTTGGCTGCTCAATCAGCATGTATTTATGGCACACAGTTCGTGCATGGGTCAGAGGTCAGGCAGAGTGCAGCTTGGCCTGCCTTAGGTCTCACGAGGCTGAAATAAAGGTGTCGCTTGGCTCTGTGGTCCCATCTGAGGTTCAGGGTCTACTTGTAAACTCATTGGTTATTAGCATATTCAGTTCCTTCTTTCATCGTGGTCCCCTTCCATTTTCAAGCCAGCAATAGCAGGTCAAATCAGGCTTCAGAAATCCCTGACTTCCTTTCTGTTCTCTTCCAGCTACAGAAAATTCCCCACTGTTAGGGCTCCTGTGATTACATCACCCACCTAGATAATCCAGGATAATCTCCCTATTTAAGATCAACTGATTAGTAACCTTGATTACATCTACGAAGAATCTTGGGCCTGTGTAGTTTAGTCACATGCTCTTTAGAGAGTATGTGGTTAGGAGCATGAATCAGAAGCCAGCTGCTCAGATTGAATTCCATCTCCTCCATTCACTAGTTGTGGATCTTCCATAAATCACCTCCCCTTCTGGGCCTCCTGTTTACTCATCTGTAACATTGCTGTGATCCTCTCAGCAGTGCCCCAGTCACTGGCTAACATGAGTCAGTACCTGTAGGGTACTTAGAAAAATGCTTTGCCTTTGTCAGTGCCCAGTAAATCCAAGTTGCTATGCTTTTTATGTGGCAGTCTTTATTTATTTTTTAGAGAGTGTATGAGTCAGGGAAGGGGGCAGAAGGGGAGAGAATCTTTTTTTTTTTTTTTTTATGTTTATTTATTTATTTTTGAGAGACAGAGAGAATGAGCATGGGAGGGACAGAGAGAGGGGGAGACACAGAATCTGAAGGAGGCTGCAGGCTCTAAGCTGTCATCACAGAGCCTGACGCGGGGCTCGAACCCACGAGCTGTGAGATCATGACCTGAGCCGAAGTCAGACGCTCAACTGACTGAGCCACCCAGGCGCCCCTGGGAGAGAATCTTAAGCAGGATCCACCACATGCAGAGCAGAGCCTGATGCTGGGCTTGATCCCACAACCTGGGATCGTGATGTGAGCCAAAATCAAGAGTCGGATGCTCAACTGACTGAGCCACCCAGGTGCCCCTGTGATAGTCTTTTTTTTTTTTGATGTTGACTTATTTTTGAGAGTGAGAGCAGGGAGGGGCAGAGAGAGAGGGAGACACAGAATCTGAAGCAGGCTCCAGGCTATGGCCTGTCAACACAGCGCCTGACATGGGGCTCAATCCCACAAACCATGAGATCATGACCTGAGCTGAAGTTGGATGCTCAACTGACTGAGCCACCCAGGCGCTCCAACGCAGTCTTTGATAATAGCTAAATCATATCATATTGTGTTGTATTTATTTTATTTAATATACCTGCCCCTCTTGGCCTCAGAACCCCAAATGTTTCCTGAAAAGATTCCTGGCACCATTTATGTCCCCTTTTAGGAACAAGTTCCTTGTTGTCTCTAGCCATGTGGAAGCATAAGCCCATGATGAAAGGACATGTGATTTTCTGTTTCAGGTGCCAGTGACATTTGGGGATTTGGCCATCTATTTCTCCCAGGAAGAGTGGGAGTGGCTGAGCCCCATTCAGAAGGATCTGTATGAAGACGTCATGTTGGAAAACTACCAGAATCTGGTCTCACTCGGTAAGGCCTGCCCCCGCCCCCCACCACCATAATCCACAGCCAGCCTATTGTGGGACATAAATTAGTCTAGTCAGGAAAACAGAAGCCACTACAGTTTTGTTTTATTGTTTAACAGCTGTATTGACGTGTAATTCACATATATATACAATGTATATAATTCAGTGGTTTTAAATATTTACAGAGTTGTACATCCATCACCACAGTCAGTTTTAGAACATTGTTATTACCCCAAAAGAAATCCCAGACCCATTAGCAACCACTCATTTCTCCTTGCCCACTAATTCCTTTAGATTAGGCAAACACTAATCCACTTTCTGTCTCTATGAATTTGCCTGTTCTTGGCTTTTCTTAGAAATGGAATCATAGGTATGTGGTACTTTTGTGCCTGACTTCTTTCACTTAACGTAATGTTTTTGAGGCTCATCTGCATTGTAGCATGTATCAGTGCCCCCTTCTTTTTATGGCCAATAATATTCTACATTTTATTTATCCATTCATCAGTTGATGGGCCTTTGGGCAGTTTTTAACTGGAGCTATTATGAATGTGCTGCTGTGAACATTCGTGTATGAATATTTTTGTGGACATGTATTTTCATTTCTTCGGGGTATATACCTAGGAGTGGAATTGCTATCATATGGTAACTATATATGTAACCTTTTGAGGGCACCCTCAAAATTTTTGAGAGAATTTAATAAAAGGAATCAGCAGGTACTGTTAAAAGGTAACTAGTGGACACAGCTGATTGATAGATGATAACTGTAGGTTGCAGCCACCACCATCCTTGGGCTAGGCATACAAAGGGGAGAGTTTGGGGTTTTTAGGACTTGAAGGGACTCACACTTCTGAAGGAAGAGAGAGGTGTGCTGACTAGTCTGTTACAGTCATGAAGAGTCCGGCTGAGGCTTGTTCTGAGAGTGCAGGAAAAAGAAAAATGAAAACCAGCAGAGCCCCTGGTGGTGGTTGCTGGTTGGTTGCTGGTGGATGCTGATAGGGAGCTGCTGATGAACAAGTGTGGATTGCAGAGCCCCAGCCCCTCGACCCAAAACAGATCAAAGAAGGTGGGAGTGGGAGCTAAAGGCAATAGACTCAGGACTTTCTGGCCTGACTTTTCAAGACCATAGTTGGCTTTGTAGAGTTAGAAATGAGCACCACCTCTCACTGTAACTGAACTTTCATCCTCCTTTTCCGCCTGCCCTTTACGTCTTCTGTGTACCCTTTGTGGTCATAAACCCCCGTTCCCATTGACATGGGGCTTGGCCCTGACATCTGTGGCATCCACATCCTGCTCAGTTCTGATGTTTTTCCCGAATGCAGGACTTTCCTTTCGGAGACCAAATGTGATCACCTTATTGGAGAAAGGGAAAGCACCTTGGATGGTGGAGCCAGTGAGAAAACGCCGGGGCTTGGGTGAGTGACAGAACCAAAGCCTATACACTGCCGTTGTGTGCAAGAGCACCCTGCATCTTGAGGGGGCAACCTCTTGATATTTGAGAGCTCCCAGTTTCCTTACCTTAAAGGCCCCAGGCCTGAGAAGAAAATTCCAGTCTCTTTTGTGCAAGCTCTAGAAGGAGAATAACCAACATTTAATAAACCTTTAGTAGGTAACAGACATACTTTAAGTATAGGTTCCTCCCAGTCCTCTAAGGTAGGTATTATTATTTCTGGTCTATATATGAGGAAACTGAAGATCAGAAGAGTTCAGTGACTTGCTTACGGTAACCCAGCTAGGAAGTGGCCTTAGAGCTAGGTTTGAACCCCAGTTTCTGCTCTCAGAAGCTCAGTTCTTAATGCCCTCATCCCAGCCTTCCCTGCCTCAGCACTTCCCTTCAGAGAAAGCATATTTCACCTTCTCTCATGATAGTATTTCTAATGATAATGTTCAAGCTCACATCGTTCCTTCATTCTTTTAAAAAAAAAAAATCCACAACTGTTCACTTTGACTACTTTCCAAGAGCTCATTCTCTTTTCTGATGGATTCTTTTTTTATCAGGTTATTTTTACTTAAACAGTTTTATAAGAATTTTTTAGTTGTAAAAAAATTCATAATATTGAGTTCATTTTAACCATTTTTAATGTACAGTTAAGTGTATTCACATTGTTGTGCAACAGGTATCAAGAACTTTTTCATCTTCTAATAACTTCTGAAACTATACTCACTAAACACTAATTTCCCTCCACCCCTCCACCCAGCCTTCAGTAGTCACCTTTCTTTATATTTCTCTGATTTTGATTACCGTGGATACTTTGTATGAATGGAATCATACAGTATTTGGTCTTTTATAACTGTTTTTTGTTTTTTGTTTGTTTGTTGTTTTTTTTTTTTTTTTTTGCTGAGCATAATGTCCTTGAGGTTCATCCATGTTGTAGCCTTTTTTAAGGCTGCATAATACTTCATTATATTTATCACATTTTTTGTATCCATTTATCAATGGATAATTGGGTTGTTCTGCTTTTGGCTACTGTAAATAATACTGCAATGAACATGGGAGTACAGATATGTATTTAAGATCCTGATTTCATTTTTTTTGGATATGTACCCAGAGGTAGGATTGCTGGATCATATGATAATTTTATTTTTTATTTTCTGGGGAACCTCCGTACTGTTTTCCATAGTGGCTGCACCATTTGTCATTTCCACCAATAGTATACAAGGGTTCCAGTTTTTTGTCAACACTTGTTATTTTTTGTTTTTTTGATAGTGGCCATCCTTACAGGTGTGAGGTGATACTGTGGGTTTGATGTGCATTTCTCTAATGATTAGTGATGTTGAGCATCTTTTCATGGGTGTATTGGCCATGTGTATAAGTGTCTATTCAGGTCTTTTGCTTGTTTGTTAAAATAGGGTTGTCATCTGTTGTTGAGTTGTAGTTCTTTATTCTGTGTATTAGTCCCTTATCTGATGGATGATTTGCAATTATTTTCTCTTATTTCATAGATTGCCTTTTAACTCTCTTGATTGTTCCTTTTGACATGCAGATGTAGTCCTATTTTTTTTACTTTGTTGCTTGTGTTTTTTGGTGTCATACCTCAGAAATCAATGCCAAATCTAATGTCTGAAGCTTTTTCCCCAGTGTTTTCTTCTAAGAGTTCAGTAGTTTTATTTTATTTATTTATTTATTTATTTTTAATGTTTATTATTTTTGAGAACGAGAGAGAGAGAGAGCAATCAGGGGAGGAGCAGAGAGAGGGAGACAGAATCTGAAGCAGGTTCCAGGCTCTGAGCTGTCAGCACAGAGCCTGATGCAGGGCTTGAACTCATAAATCGCGAGATCATGACCTGAGCCGAAGTCAGACACTCAACCGACTGAGCCACCAGGCACCCCAAGAGTTCAGTAGTTTTAGATTTTACGTTTAGGTCTTTAATCTATTTTGAGTTAAAATTTTTGTTTTTGGAAGAGTGAGAGAGAAGGAATCCCAGGTAGGCTCCCCGCGGTCAGGACAGAGCCCAAGTGGGGCATGAACCCACAAACAGTGAGATCATGATCCAAGCCAAAATCTAGAGTGGGATGCCAATCAACTGAGCCACCCAGGTGCCCCCCCCCCTTGAAGTTTTTGTTGTTGTTGTTGTTACTTGGGTTTTGTAGGGTTTTTTTGGGAGAGAGAAAGAGAGTGAGCAGAAGAGAGGGGCAGAGGGAGAGAGAATCTTAAACATGCTCCACCATTCTCAGTGCAGAGCCTGATGCAGGGCTTGATCCCATAACCCTGGGATCATGGCCTGAGCTGAAATCAAGAGTCTGTCACTCAACCCCCTGAGCCACTTACACCTTTATATATAAAGTGTAAGGAAGGGTCCAAGATCATTCTTTCACATGTAGATACCCAGTTTTCCCAGCCCTGATTGTGAAAGAGACTGCCCTTTTCTCTTGAGTGGTATTGGCCTCCTTATTGAGAATCATTTGACCAGATATGCAAGTGTATATTTCTTGACTTTCTATTTTGTTCTGTTAGTCTTTATATCTATCTTTTATCCACTACCATATCATCTTAATTACTGTTGATTTGTAGTGTGTTTTGAAGGATTTTTTAAATTATTTATTTGTTTTCTTTTAGAGAGACCACCTGAGCTGGGGAGAGGGGCAGAGGGAGAGAGACAGAGAATCCCAGACAGGCTCCACACTCAGTATAGAGCCTGATAGGACCCTCGATCCCATGACCCTGGGATTATAAGTGCAGCGAAATCAAGAGTTAGATGCTCAGCCAGCTGAGCCACCCAGGCGCCACAGGCCCTGCTTTTTTAGTATGTTTTGAAATCAGAAAGTGTGAGGCATCTAACTTTGTTTCTTTTTTTCAAGATTGGCTATTTAGGGTCCCTTGACATTGTATATGAATTTTAGGAAATTTTTTTTCTATTTCTGTAAAAAATGTCATTGGGATTTTGATAGGAATTGCATTGAATCTGTAGATCGCTTTGGGTGGAATATTAAGTCTTCCAGTCCACATGCACAGGATAGCTTTCCATTTATTTGTACCTTTGATGACTTTTTAGCAGTGCTCTGTAGTTTTCCATGTACAAATTGCTTGAGTTAAATTTATTCCTGAATATTTTATCCTTTTTGATGCTATAGTAAATGGGATTGTTTTTCTTGTTTCCCTTTCTGAGTGGTCGTTGTTAGTGTATAGAAACACAACTGATTTGAGTCTTGATTTTGTATCCTCCTGTTTTATTTGATTGGATTTGTTTATTGGTTCAAACATTTTGTATGTCTGTGTGGAATGGTTAGGCTTCTCTACAAAGAAGATCATGTCATCTGTGAACAGGCAGAATGTCACTTCTTTTCCTTTTTTTAATGCTTTTTATTTCTTTTTTTAAAAAACTGCTCTGGTTTGAGGCACCTGGGTGGCTCAGTTGGTTAGGTGTCTGACTTTGGCTCAAGTCATGACCTCACGGTTCATGAGTTTGACCCCTGTCAGCACAGAGCCCGAAGCCTGCTTCAGATTCTGTCTTCCTCTCTCTGCCCTTCCCCTGCTTGCATTCTGTCTCAAAAATAAATAAACATTTAAAAAATTTTAAAAAAACAACCCCACTGCTCTGGCTACAACTTCTGGTAGTATGTTGAATAGCAGTGGTGAGAGTGAGCATTCTTGCCTTGTTTCTGATCTTAGGAAAGGGTTTTAAGTCTTTCCATGTTTACTGTGATATTTGCGGTGGGTTTTTCAATTACGGATTTTATTATGTTGAGGTAGTTTCTATTTGTAGATTGTTGAGTGTTTTTATCATGAAAGGGTTTTGAATTTCGTCAAAAGTTTTTTCTGTATCAATTGATCATCATGTGGCTTTTGTCCTTTATTTTGTTAATGTGATGTATAACAGTGATTGATTTTCCCATATTGAACTGTCCTTGCTTTCCAGGTGTAAATCCACTTGCTCGTGTGTGTGATCTTTTTAATGTGCTGTTAAGTTCAGTTTGCTAGTATTTTGTTTAGAATTTTTGCATTAATATGCATCAGAGGTACTCATCTGTGGTTTCCTTTTCTTGTGTTGCCTTTGTCTGATTTTGGTATTAAGGTAAAAGTAGCCTCATATAATGAGTTATCAAGTATTCTTTTTGCTTCTGTCCTCTGAAAGAGATGATGGAGAATTGGTATGAGTTCTTTTAAATATTTGTTAGAACTCATCAGCAGATGCATCTGGGCCTGGTGCTTTCTGTTTTGGAAGGTTATTGGTTCATTTTTTTTTTTTTTTTTAAGTTTATTTTGAGGGAGAGAAAGAGCAGGAGGCTGAGAGAGAGCCTGTCAGCACAGAGCCTGATTCAGGGCTTGAACTCCCATGAGATCATGACCTGAGCCAAGCCCAAGTTGGATGCTTAACCAACTGAGCCACCCAGGTGCCCCTATTGATTCAATTTCGTGAATAGATAGAGGCCTATTCACATTTTCTGATTTCTTGTGTGACTTTTGGAATACTGTTCCTTTCAACAAAATGGTCTCTTTCATCTAGGTTATCAAATTTAAGGGCATAGAAGTTGTTCATAGTTTTCCTTTATTATTCTTTTAATTTTCATGAAATGTGTATTTCTGTCGTGTCTTTCATTTCTGATATTAGTAGTTTGTGTTTTCTCTATTTCTTGGCCTAGCTAGAACCTTATCAATTTTAGTGATTTTCAAAGAACCAGGTTTTGGTTTCATTGTATTTTTCTATTGATTTCTTGTTTTCAATTTCAGTGAGTTTTGCTGTAATTCTTATTTTTTTCTGCTTATTTTAATGTTTGTTTTTGAGAGAGAGAGCAGGGGAGGGATAGAGGATCCAAAGTGAGCTCCGCACTGACAGTAGTGAGCCCAATTTGGGACCCAAACTCATTAACCGTAAGATCATGACCTGAGCCAAAGTCGGACGCTCAACCAACTTGAGCTACCCAGGTGCCCCTCTTCTGCTTATTTTGGATTTGATTTGCTCTTTTAATGTTTTCCTGAGAAGGAAACTTAGATTACTGATATTATGTATTTATTTTTTAAGTTTATGTTTTTGAGAGACCGAGTGTGCGCCAGCAGGGGAGGGGCAGAGAGAGAATCCAAGCAGGCTCCACACCGTCCACGCACAGCCTGATGCAGGGCGTGATCCCACGAACTGTGAGATCATGACCTGAACTGAAATCAAGATTTGGATGCTCAAGGGACTGAGTCACCCAGGTGCCCCTCATTTTAGATCTTTGTTCTTTTCTAATGTGCTATGTAGTGCTATAAATTTCCCTAGGATAAACACTAGTTTCGTTGCATCCCACAAATTCTGGTAAGTTGTGTTTCTGTTTTCATTTAGTTCAGAATATTTAAAAATTTCTTTTGAGAGGTTTTTTGTTGTTGTTTTTTGTTTTTTGTTTTAATTTGACAGTGCGGGTGCATGAACAGGGAAGGTGCAGAGAGTGGGGGGAGAGGGATTCCCAAGCAGGCTCTGCTTTGTCAGCACAGAGCCTCATGCAGGGCTCTATCTCACAAGCCATGAGATAATAACCTGAGCCAAAATCAAGACTTTGATTCTTAACTGACTGAGTCACCCACATGCCCCTCATATGTTGTTGAAAATTTAACCTCCAAGTATTTAGGGATTTTCCACTGATCTTTCTGTTACTGATTTCTAGTTTAATTTCATTGTGGTCTGAGAGCACTGTGTGATTTCTATTCGTTGTTAAGGTGTGTTTTAAGGCCTAGAATGTTGTCTGTCTTGGGGAATATTCTGTGTAAGCTTGGGGACAATGTGACTACTACTGTCATTGGATGAAGTGGTCTGTAGATGTCAGTTATATTCAATTGAAAATGGTGTGGTTGAGTTCCCCTGAATTTTCTGCTTGCTCAATCTGTTCATTTATGAGGGAAGGATGTTGAAGTGTTTTAATAACTATGATAGTGGATTCATATATTTCTCCTTGCAGTTTTACAGTTTTTGTTGATTGTAGTTTGATGCTCTGTTGGTAGGCATATACACATTAAGAATTGTTATGTTTTCTGAAGAATTGATTCTTTCATTATGTAATGCCCCTCTTTATCCATGATAACTTTCCATGCTTTTAAGTCTGCTCTGTCTAGAATTAATATAGCTACTCCTGCTTTCTTTTGATTAGTGTTGGCATGGTATATTTCTCTCCATTCATTTATTTTTTAAAAAATTTATTGGGGCGCCTGGGTGGCGCAGTCGGTTAAGCATCCGACTTCAGCCAGGTCACGATCTCGCGGTCCGTGAGTTCGAGCCCCGCGTCAGGCTCTGGGCTGATGGCTCAGAGCCTGGAGCCTGTTTCCGATTCTGTGTCTCCCTCTCTCTCTGCCCCTCCCCCGTTCATGCTCTGTCTCTCTCTGTCCCAAAAATAAATAAATGTTGAAAAAAAAAATTAAAAAAAAAATGTATTAATGTACTGTTTAATTTACATCCAAGTTAGCACATGGTGCACCAGTGATTTCGGGAGTAGATTCCTTAATGCCCCTTACCCATTTAGTCCATCCCCCCTCCCACAACCCCTTCAGCAACCCTCTGTTCTCTATATTTAGGAGTCTCTTATGTTTTGTCCCCCTCCCTGTTTTTATATTATTTTTGCTACCCTTTCCTTATGTTCATCTGTTTAGTATCTTAAATTCCACATGAGTGAAGTCGTATGATACTTGTCTTTCTCTAATTTCACTTAGCATAATACCCTCTAGTTCCATCCACATAGTTGCAAATGTCAAGATTTCATTCATTTTGATTGCTGAGTGATACTGTGTTGTGTATATATACCACATCTTCTTTATCCATCCATTCATTTACTTTTAATCTATGTCTAATCTATATCTAAAGTGGGTTTTTTACAGACAACACACAATTGGGCCATGTTTTTTAATTCACCCTGACAGTCTCTTTTAATTGTTACAGTAATTAATACTGTTGACATTCAAAGTGATTACTCATATAGTTGGATTGATATCTACTTCTATACATAATAAATATTTTTTATTGTCTTTATTCCTGCTTTTGTCTTCTCTTTTTCTGCTTGTTGTGGTTTTATTTTGTTTTTTGTTTATGTATTTTTAAGTAGGCTCTACACCCAGTGTGGGGCTTGAACTCAAACTCTGAGATCAAGAGTTGCATGCTCCACCAACTGAGCCAGCCAGGCGCCCCTCTGCCTATTGTGTTTTTAAATTTTTTTTTTTTTTAATGTTTATTTACTTTTGAGACAGAGAGAGACAGAGCATGAACGGGGGAGGGTCAGAGAGAGGGAGACACAGAATCTGAAACAGGCTCCAGGCTCTGAGCTGTCAGCACAGAGCCCGACGCGGGGCTCGAACCCACGGACCGCGAGATCATGACCTGAGCCGAAGTCGGCCGCTTAACCGACTGAGCCACCCAGGCTCCCCATGCCTATTGTGTTTTTAAACGAGCATTTCATATGATTCCAGTGTTATCAATTGTACTTTTTTGTTTTTTAAGTGGTTGCCTTAGAGTTTACAGTATACCTTTACAACTAATCCAAGTCCACTTTCAGGTACCAGTATATCACTTCATGGGACTGTGCCTTATAATAACAAAATAATGCTAATTTCTTTCTCCCATCACCTGTATCATTGTTATCATTCATTTCATTTATATATAAATATGATAAGCATGTATAAATTAAATGTACATACATAAGATGAAAAGATGACCAAACATTATTGAATACATTGATGCTATTATTTTGAATAAACTATTACTGTTAGGTCAGTTAAGAATAAGAAAAATAGGGGTGCCTGGGTGGCTCAGTCGTTGGGTGTCTGATTCTTGGTTCCAGCTCAGATCATGATCTCACAATTTGTGAAATCAAGCCCCATGTCGAGCTCTAGGCTGACAGCACGGAACCTGCTTGAGATTCTCTGTCTCTCAAACTTTAAAATTAAAATGATAAGAAAAATAAAGGTTTTTTTTTTTTTTCCTTCACTATTGTTTCTTCATTGCTCTTCTTTTCTTTCTTCTTTCTCCTAGTAGTCTCATAATACGTTTGTCACTTTTTTGTAGTTGTCCCATGGTCTTTGGATATTCTGTTCTCTTTTTTTCAGTCTTTATTTACTGTGCTTTCCAAGTTTTAAGGGTTCTTTTTTTTTTTTTAAGTTTATTTTTATTTAGAGAGCAAGAAAGCACGTGAGCATGAGCAGGGTAGGGGCAGAGAGGGAGAGGGAGGATCCCAGGCAGGCTCCACACCATCAGTGTAGAGTCTGACACAGGGCTCAGACTCACAAACTGTGAGATCATAACATGAGCCAAAATGAAGGGTCAGATGTTGAACTGACTGAGCCACCCAGGAGCCCCTGATTTTTAAGAATTCTAATTTACCAATAGAATAAATCCTTTAGCTCTCAGAATCTTTCTTCAGCTGTGTCGAATTCTGTCCAAGTCATTCTTTATTTCTGTTACAGTGTTTTTGATCTCAAACATTTTGTTTTGGTTCTGAGAATTTCCATCTCTCTGCTTACATTGCTCATCTGTTCTAATACGCTGTATACTTTATCATTAGAGCCCTTAACATATTAATCAATTTTAAATTTCTGGTCTGAGAATTAATAGCATCCCTGCCATATCAGTCTGATTTTGATGCTTGCTCTTTCTCTTCAAATTGTGTTATTTGCCTTTTGGTATGCCTTGTAATTTTTTTTTACTTGCCAGAGGTTATGTACCAGGTAAAAGGAACTATTGTAAACAGCCCTTTAGTGATGTGTGATGGGTGAGGTGTGTCTTTTAGGGAGCCTTTGCCTCTGGAATGTGAATGTCTTCAGTTTCTCAGTGCCCCCCCCACCAAAACCCTATCCCTTTAGGAGGGACAGGATGGCTAGAGGCCGCTGAAATTGGAGGCAGCCGTTTGTATTCTCCCCTGTCTTATGGATCCAAGAAGAGTTGTTGGTTTTAACATCTGTTTAGCTTTTTACTTGTTAGGATGAAGTTGTGCTTTCCAAGCTTCTTACATGAAGAACCGCAAACCAGAATTCCAGTGTTTTGTTTGTTTGTTTGTTTTTTTAAGATTGGATTTTAAGAATACATTTTAAAAATTTACAATTTCATTGGGATGTAATGTACATATTGTAAAATTCACTTAAGTGTATAATTCAGTGGTTTTTAATAAAGTTGACAACTTGTGTAGCCATCACCATAATCTAGTTTTAGAATATTTTTATCACCCTAATAAAATTCTTCATGTCCATTTACAATTAAACCCTAGTCCCACCTCCAGCCCCAGGCAACTACTAATTTACCTTCTGTTTGTAGTTTACCTTCTGCCTTTTTTGGACCTTTCATGTAATAAAAGTACATTCATCTAATGAATAACCTATGGAGTTTAATATGGTATGTGGTATGAATTTATCCTACGAATAAAACTTTGATTTATTAATTTCAAATCACAAGCTTTCCTGATTTTTAATTACTAAATATTTCTCTAAAGCCTTTTGGCATGTTAAAATTACAGTAAGATACTACAGAGTTTTTCTTCTGGTTATCATCATTGTTATTATGTTTGATGATGATTGATATTATAATTATCATTGATAATAACTGCACAGAAACTTCATTTTTCAGCATAGGAAAACAAATACTGAATTTCTTGGTGTCTTTCAGACTCAAGGTCTAAATATGAGACCAAGAAGTTACCAACATCTCTGTGCAACAAATCTGGGCAAAGCAGCTATCAGAAACCAGTTTCTGCATCACAAAAAGTTGCCATAGGAAAGAAAGGCTGCAAGAAAAGTTCAGTCCTAGTAAAACCCAAGAAAGTGCATTCAGGAAAGAAATCTTTAAAATGTAATGACTGTGGGAAAACCTTTGGTCAAAGTTTATCTCTTAAACTTCATCAGAAATCACATACTAGAGAGAAGCCTTATGAATGCAGTAATTGTAGAAAAGCTTTCAGACAGATCTCATCCCTCATTCTTCATCAGAAAATTCACAATGGAAGGAAAAGCCATGAATGTGGTAAGTGTGGAGAAAACTTCATTCAAAGAACATCTCTTATTCTACATGGGAAAGTTCATAATGGAAAAGAAACCTTTGACTGTGGGAAGGCCTTGAGTCAGTACCCAACTCTCACTGTGGGCCAGAAAATTCACTTTGTTGAGAATATCCACCAGTGTGGAAAGTGTGGGAAAGACTTCATTCGAAAGTCATCCCTTTTACTTCATAAGAAGATTCACAGCAAAAAGAAATTACATAAATGCAATAAATGCGGGAGAGGCTTCAAAAACAAATCAGCCCTTGTTATACATAAAAGAATTCACACTGGAGAGAAAACCTATGAAAGTGAGAAGACCTTAAGTCAGAGTCCACTGCAGAAAAGTCACCATTTAGAGAATCCTTATAAATGCAGAGAATGTGGAAAATCCTTTAATAGGATTTCATCCATTTTGCTTCATCAGAGAATTCACACATCAAAGAAACCCTACAAATGTGATAAATGTGACAAGGTCTTCAGGCGCCTTTCAACCCTTATTCTACATCTAAGAATTCATAATGGAGAGAAACTCTACAGATGCAGTAAATGTGAAAAGGTCTGTAATCGGCATTCATCCCTTATTCAACATCAGAAAGTTCATACAAGGAAAAAGAAACTGTTTGAATGTAAGGAATGTGGGAAGATGTTTTCTGGAACTGCCAACCTTAAAATACATCAGAACATTCATTCTGAAGAGAAGCCTTTCAAATGCAATAAATGTAGTAAAGTTTTTGGTCGTCAGTCATTTCTTATTGAACATCAGAGAATTCATACTGGAGAAAAGCCCTATCAGTGTGAGGAATGTGGAAAAGCCTTCAGTCATCGAATATCTCTTACTCGGCATAAGAGAATTCATACTGAAGATAGACCCTATGAATGTGATCAGTGTGGGAAAGCCTTCAGTCAGAGTGCACACCTTGCTCAACATGAAAGAATTCACACTGGAGAAAAACCATATACGTGCAAAACATGTGGGAAGGCCTTTAGTCAACGCACATCCCTTATTCTACATGAAAGAAGTCATACTGGAGAGAAACCCTATGAATGTAATGAATGTGGGAAGGCATTTAGTAGTGGCTCAGATCTTATTCGGCATCAGAGAAGTCATTCTTCAGAGAAACCATATGAATGTAGTAAATGTGGGAAGGCATATAGTCGGAGTTCATCTCTGATTCGACATCAGAATACACATTCTGAGGAAAAAGCCTAAGTTTGTTTTAAATATGTGAAAACGTAGAATGAGGCTATAAAAGTAGCAGAGACCAAGGCATGGGAAAAATGCCTTTGTCTATAACCTAAATTTTGTAAAAATGGGACCATCTTGGTGATGTGTCCCACTTTGAAAGCCAAAGAGCAAAAGTCATTAGGGTGACTTTGACCAGACAATTTGTAATCAACTGAGGCAGTGATGTTACCATAGGTCTTAATTTCAAAGCAGCAAGTTCAGATGACTGGATCATTTTTAATGAAGACCACTCTTCATTCCATAAGACACCTGATATTTTATTTGCAGTGTAATTTAGACAGCGGTTTCATTAGTCACATACAACAAAGTGGAACCACAAAGCCCATATTTATAGATGGGGCTTTGAGCCTTATTTAAGGTCACATGAAGAAAGAGTTTTAAGTTTGTCCCTTAGAACTAGACTATCATGTATAAGAGATTTCCTGGGCAAACGAGGGTACTACTTTCAGCTGACAGAAAATTGTGGGTGAGAAAAAAGTAGAGTGAATCTTCAAGTGGATAAAGGTAACACTCATAATGTGTGTGAATCAGTAGAGTTACTATCATACTGTCTCCATGAATATGAAGATACATAATCTTCATGGTATGAAAAATCTTAACAAGCCTGAGACAGGCTAATGGGAAAAAAGAAGCCAGGATATACTGAAGAATGGGAACTTAAGAGCAGGGAGAAATTATTTGTTACTGTTTTATTTGAAAAGAAATTTGTTTATATTTATATGAATAAACAGTGGTATTTTCATGTAAGAACAGTGGTGTGCAATAAGTGACTGGTGGAGAATGAGATGCCATTCCCTAAATGTGTCCTCTCTGAATTTATATGTCAAACCCCTAACCTCTAAAGATAGGGACCTTTGGGAGATAATTAGGGATAGATGAGTTTATGAGGGTACATCATGATAGTATTAGTGTCTTTAAAAGAAAGGATGCCAGAGAGCTTGCTCTCTAAGCCATGAGAAGATACTACAAGAAGGTGGCTGTCTGCAAGCCAGGAAGCTAGCTCTCCCTACCATCCAACCATGTGGCACCCTGATCTCCAGAACTGAAGAATAAGTTTCCTTTGTTTAAGTCACCCAGGATATGGTATTTTGTTATGGCAGCCCAGGCTGACTAATACATGGGAGGAAACTCTGGATTTATGTACCAGTCTCTTTTCCTGTCAGCTAATCACCATATGTAACAGCTTTCAGTCCCTGTTTTCCCGCTTGTACAAAGTATGTAAGAAATAAAATCAGAGTTCTTTTTGTTATTGGGTTATATACGGTTGGAGTATTCTGCAAAAACCATTTTTGTAAACACCCATATCTTGCTAAGATAACTGCGAAATGTATAACCATGAGAGTTACGCCATTCTAACTTTGACCACAACTGAGAAAATAACATCCAGATTTGTGAAGGGTAAGCATGCATATAGGATAATAGAACAGTTAACTTTTCATTTACGCTTGTCATAGTACTGTAAAAGCATAAAATATCTCCAACACTTGAAGCAAATGGGTGAGCAAATTAACAGAATGCTCATGGAGAGGCAGGTCTATTCTTCCTCCCCTTTCACACCCCTGGCTTTGTTAATTTCTTTGCCAACCTGCCATAGAGATTGGTTCCAAATCAATGGTCACAAACCTACTATATATAATATAAACTAATAAGACATTGTACTTGCCTGCAGACGTTTAGAGTTTTCTAGGGAATACATAATATTAAAATGTGGAAACATGTATAAAAGACACAGATAATAACCAAGAAGAAGATGGTGAACTCCATTGTGAGTAGAGGACATGGGAACAGGGATTACTTGGAGATAGTGACCATATTAAAGGAAGAACAGGACTCAGGCTGACTAGGCACTTAAGAGTTGGAAGGCTATTGAAGGCAGAGAGAGAAAGTACACATGCACAAGATAGTGGCAGAAGGTTGTAGAGTATTAGAGGAGTGGCAAATTCAGTATTTAGTATAGTGACTGGCACATTGAAGTGGTAAGTACTAGTGAGATCTTGAGTGAATAAATGAATGAAAATGTTTCAGTATAACTGGATTTTCTGAGCCATAGTTGTCAGGGACACTTAAATCTGAAGGTGACTCAGACATTGAGATAAACCCTTGGGAAAATAGGCTAAGGAATCACTAGTGATGTTTGAAGACTCTGGTGAACTCAGGGTAACCACAGCAGCAACCAAACTTAAACCTAGTCCAGTTCTTGTCTGTATTAATGAATTCTTCCCTCCCCCCACCCCATCCACGGCTTAACAGAAGGAATGACATGACCATTTCCAGAAATCTATTTACCTGTTTTGGTTCTACACACGATTCCTAGCTTTTGGGGTCGGGGAGGCGGGGAGAATTATAAAGCATGCAAAACAAGAATAATCTACACTTTCTATCCCCACCAAGTGACAAAGCACTCCAGAACTACTCAAAGTGACAGCTGTTGGGCTGACAAAATTTTAAACAACTATAATATGTTCAAGGCTGTAACCAAAAAGATGCACAGCAGCCAAACTACATGGGTCATTTGAGCAGAGGTGGAACTATATGAATCATGGAAATAATAGAAATGAACACAGATGAACACGTTTTCAACAGGTTCATCAGTATACTTAAGTATACTTGACACAGCCAAGGAAACAATAAGTGAACCTTGAAGGTAGGTTTTTAATCCAAATATATTTCTTAAATTATAGCAAATGCAAATGGTCTAAACACACCAGTTAAGAGATGGCAAAACAACTGAATTGAAAAGCAGGACCCAGCATATGCTAGCAGAAACCTTAAATATACAGGCATACATAATTAAAAGTGGGGGAAAAGATAGAACACGCAAACACTGATGAAAGAAAGTTGGAATCACAATATTAGTGTCAGATGAAGCAGACATTAGAACAACAAATGTAATCAGGGATAGAGAGACATAAAAAGGATCAATTTCCAGGTAAACATAACAGTCCTAATTGTACATGTATCAAACTACAGAGGTAGAAATTACACAAATGAAAAAAGAACAGAAAGGGTAAATGGATCAATCCACTATTACTGGAGATTTCACCATTGTCTCTCTGCTATTAATAGAACAAGTAGTATATAGAACCCCTGAACAACAAAATTGACCAAGTTAACTAGTTGACATTTATAAAACATAAGAGAATACATTCAAGTACACATGAAGCATTTTACCAAAACCATAAAACAAATCTTAAGTTTTAAACAACTGGTTGTATAAATTGTATTCCCTGACTATAGCAGAACTAAACTAGCAACAACAGTAACATACCTGAAAATGTTTGGAAGGCTTAAACTACAAATTCCTTTTTTTTTTTTTTTTAACGTTTATTCATTTTCCTTATAGAGACTGTGAGTGGGGGAGGAGCAGAGAGAGAGGGAGACACAGAATCTGAAGCAGGCTCCAGGCTCTGAGCTGTCAGCACAGAGCCCGATGCGGGGCTTGAACTCACAGACGGTGAGATCACGGTCTGAACTGAAGTTGGATGCTTAACCACTGAGCCACCCAGGCGCCCCTCCTTTTTTTTTTTTTTTTTTTTTTAAGACCTGTTCAGATTATTCTTTTTTTCAACGTTTTTGTTTTGTTTTGTTTTTTTTGGGGGGGGGGGGACAGAGAGAGACAGAGCATGAACGGGGGAGGGTCAGAGAGAGAGGGAGACACAGAATCGGAAACAGGCTCCAGGCTCTGAGCCATCAGCCCAGACCCTGATGCGGGGCTCGAACTCACGGACCGCAAGATCGTGACCTGGCTGAAGTCGGACGCTTAACCGACTGCGCCACCCAGGCGCCCCTAGACCTGTTCAGATTATTCTTGAGAAAACTTTTGATCATTCCAAGAAAATTTCCCATTTCATCTAAGTTCTCAAATCATTTCCATGAAGTCCACAACATTCTCGTAACCATTTCATAACTGTAGAATTTGTGGTGATGTCACCTCTGCTATTCCAGATATTGGTAACTTGTGTATTTTCTTTTTTTAGTAGTCAGTCTGAAGATTTATTAGTTTTATTGACCTGTTTTTGCTTCCTATTTCATTGATTTCTTTTTATTATTTACATTCTAATGCTAATGTGGAAATTTGTTAAGGTGGAAATTGTGTTAATTTGTTAATTGTGTTAATTTGAAGTCACTGGGAGCTTTCGAAATTTTATAACTTAGTGTAGTGTATTCCCTTCTAAGCACTGTGTTAGCTGCATCCCACACATTTTGACATGGTGTGTTCTAAGTTTCACTCAATTTTAAATACTTCCTTGTTTTCCTTTTTGATTTCTCTTTAGACTCATGGATTACTGTTTAGGTCCAGCTACTTGGAGATTTTTCAAGTATCTTTGTGTTACTGATTTCTAATTTAATCCTTTCTAGTCAGAAAACGCATTTTATATGACTTGAGTTTTTTTTAAGTTTATTGAGGTATGTTTTAAAACCTGGAATATGGTCTATTTTGGTAAATATTCTGGATGCAGTAAAATAATTTATTCTTGGGTGAAAGGTTTTTAAAATGTCAGGTCAAGTTTGTTGGATAGTATAGTTCAGGTCTTCAGTATCCTTACTGATTTTCTGTTTACTTGTTCTTATGACAGATGTGTGTCAGAATCTCTTATAATTTTGGATTTGTCCATTTCTCCTTGTAATTCTATCAGTTCTTTTCCCAGGTAATTCAAGTGGTTTCCTCACATGCATGCTGTGATCAGCGTTCAGGTAAAAACTAGAGTTTTTACACAAAAGATTCTGATGTCTAGGTGTTTTTTTCTCTAAGAGCTCTCAGGCACTTCATCCTGAGAACGCTAGCCACCTCAGTCAATCTCCCTGGCTCCCAGACCCATCTCAACTCAGGGAGACCATAGCCTGGAAACTCTCCATGCAGTTATTTGGGGGAAATCACAGTACTCACCTCATTTGTTTCCCATTTTTCAGGGATCTCTGTCTCACTGCCTGATGTCCAGTGTCTTGGATACCAAGGTTTCATATATTTTGTCCAGTTTTAAGTGTTTCAGATGAGATGATAAACTGTCCTCCTCCCCCCTCCCCCATAATTCCATCTTCACTGGAAGTTTATATCTCAAATTCACATTTAACAAGAACAGAAGGACTATGGATGTAGGAATAAAAAAAACTGCAATTAACATTCTTGTGTACATGCTTTTGAAAACTTTCACCAGTATTTTTGGAGAAGTTCCTGGATCAAAAAGATAGGCAAATTCTAATAGATCTTTAACTTGCCCTTTCTATTCAAACTGCCAACACTCTAGAATGAAGGATTTTTGGATGAATTTTTATGTACCTTTATTCAGTGCTGCCTACATCTTGCCCAGCAAGTTGGGATATACTGGTATTGTTTTTCAAAATTTCTTCTACCTACTTTTTCTCCATTATGCCAGTCTTATGAGAGGGCAGAGGGTGCCAGAGATCCTGGCATGTTCATTTAGTGTGGCCCTGTTGTTTCTGTATTAAACTTTTCATAGTGTGTGATGTGAGATGGTCTCGATTTATTTTTTTCTTTGAGAGCAAGTGTGACTGGGGGAGGGGCAGAGGGAGAGAAAAGTTCTTAAGCAGGCTCCACACCCAATGCGGAGCCCAATGTGGGCTGGCTCTCACAACTGAGATCATGACCTGAGCTGAAATCAGGAGCTTAACTAGCTGAGCTACTTGGGCACCCCTCCCTTTACTTTTTCAATGGGGCTGGCTGTTTTCTTGTGTCATTTCATTCAATTTTGTTAGAAGGAAGTTCTGTTAAGTCTGAATCTTCTGTTCCATAGGGTCTCTGAAAGACTTTTAAATTTTTGAAGAGAGGCCCCCGGGTGGCTCAGTTGAGCGTCGGTTGAGCATCCGACTTCAGCTCAGGTCATGATCTCACGGTTGGTGAGTTCCTGCATCAGAGTCTGTGCTGACAGCCTAGAGCCTGTAGTCTGCTTTGGATTCTGTGTCTCCCTCTCTCTGCCCCTCCCCCGCTCATGCTCTGTCTCTGTCTCTCTCAAACACTAAAAAAGATTTTTTTTAAATATTTTTAATGAATAGAGCTCTTCCTGATCTAGCTATTTTTCCAAGGGCAGTGCTCCAGACTGGCAAGAAATTTGTTTTTGCCCGGTGATTCTCAAATGTTACTGTGTATTCAGATCACCTGGGGATTTTGTAGAGCTGCAGATTCTGAATCACTAGGTCTGGATTAGGGCCCAATATTTTGGAATTGTGAGAAATTATCAAGTGATGCTGCTGGTCTGTAGCCCACACTTTCAGTAGTAAGTATTTAGCCTT